ACTATACAATTGGATAACCTGTCAGATTCATTATAAAGATCAAAGGTGTAATTGACATTCAATCCATAAAGAGCACGATCTACTAAAGCGTATCCTCCGCGAGGTAGTGTTCTAACATTCGTTAAAGACCCTTTGTTTGGTGGAAATATTGGATCCAACGACAATATAGATCCAGTGGAAAGAAAACGAATTCTCACGTAAAAATTTTCAGTGGATGTAGTAGTTGTAAGTGGAGCTGTTGTAGTAGTGGTAACTGGTACGACTGTGGGGGCGGCTCCCGTAGGAGTTATAGTAGTTGTGATAACAGTTGTAGTAACATTCTGAATTGTTTGAGTCTGCGTCTGTGTTACGTACGCGATACATGAATGACCAATGTAAACGAAGTCGACCGAACAATATATGTGAGTGAATGTTAGGTTTGGAGTAGTTAATTCAAATAAAATCATTCTTTGGGGTGTTTTTGTTTGATTATAACCCACGAATATGGCATATATTCCTCCACTTGCAGCAAATTGAGTGGCTAACGTATTGTTAGAAGTTACAGGAGTTCTGGTCGTATTAGCATATGTAAGCGCATATCCACCATCTAAAGTAGCGATTACAGTAACTTGAAAGCTGGTAGTAAGGCCTGCACCCGCAACTGTGTCATTCTGTAATAAATAGAATATTCCATTGTCACTGCTGAAAAGAAAAGGAAAATAAATGATTTTAGTGTATACATCTACTTAATTAACGAATACATAAAACTCAACATACTATTGGTATTGGGCCCATTTGAAAGATCCTACTCCATTAATAAATGCTGCAGATAAACGTAAGAAACCTTTTTTGGGAGTAATATTATTAACTATATATTCATTCGGAACCCAAATTGTGCCTAAATACAAATAAGATGGTCCAAAATCGAGGTTGCTAAGATAATATGTAATAAATTACATAATCAATTATTATTAAATTTTTATTTTTTTTTTATATATATATTTATATTATTAACAAACCTTACAACATTTCCACTCCAATCGAAAACCATTCCACGATCCGTATAAGTTGTATTGTCAGTGATATTAATTGCATGAGTATATGTTACTAAAATGTATTGATCAAATAACGGGTAAAAATTTATGGGATTTTTTGGACCACTCGCGCCATTAGTAACCGTACAATAATTGATATATTGTATTTCAGTAGAATTATCGTAATTTATTTCAATAACACTTCCATTTGCTTGAATAACACGAAGTAATACCCTTGGCTCATAACAATAATTATAGGTGAAGTAATTGTAGTAATTCGTCCGAGCGACACGAACAACTGAAGTACCCGTATTATCATCATAATGTTTAATTTCTATAATGTGAGGTTGGACTCCGGTAAGATTAGTATATGGACTGGGGCTTTCTTGATATGTAAAGTATGAATATTCTACAGTTTGCGCAAATCCTGTTGGTAAAAAGATCAACAGGAAATTGATAATAATTAAGAATACCAAATTACACGATAGAGCCTTCATTTCTTTAAATTTGGTATTGAGTAAAAAATTATGTCAAGACATCGAATTTAAATTAATGCTCAAGTTGACACAAAATAAAAACAAATATTTTTACATAAGGTAAAAGGTTACATATGGTAAATAGTAACTGTAAATATAGAAATTTCTCAATAATCATTGGTAATACTACAACATTTAACAAATAACTTTTTTCTCACAATGTGAAATTGAGTTTTTGTTAAATTAATAATACCTTAATTTTAAAAATGACTATTCTATAAATGGTGAAACATCAATGGGTTATAGTTGGAAAAAGTTCTTGCAAAAAAAGAGAATCACAAGAAATACGATTTTGAAATTCCTATTATGAAAATATTTTTAATGAAATTCTTTAAACCTTTAAACCTTTAAACCGTTAGTTCAAAGTAACCAATAATTTGTTTATCCTGTGAACAAACAAATTAATGATTGTAGCCAATTTGGCATTATCCGATAAAAATCGACTAAGTCAGTCGATTTTTAAAAAATTGACTTAGTCGATTCTTTTGTTATGTGTATAAGAAATTTCGGGTGATTCAGGAAAAATAGTCAATCAAACAACTTAGAAGGTCGGCGAAAAAATTCGGGATATAGATGGTCTATATACTAAATGTAATCGTGTCGATAAATTAATGTCGACTACAAACACTAGATCAAATTATACTTATTACGTATAAGGAATTTTTAGTAAAAAATAAACACCTAGTTTTTATTCGAAAACAAATAGATCAAAGTTTTTTTTTTTTTTATTAATTAAAATATTATTAATTAGTAAAAAATTTATTACTAAAAAAATTTATTGCCAAAAATTTAATATTAATAAAAACATGCTTACTATTAGTAGTATGAAATCTTTGCATATATAAATAACTCATTTACCCTACTTTATGCTCAATTGTCATAAATTTCTGAATATATTGTACATACGTTCCTCCAAAATATGATCGATATGTTGTGTCAGATCAGGTGTCGACTTTTTGGCCCGCATTAACTGATCGACATTGATTGACTATTTTTCCTGAATCACCCG